ATTAAAGGTTGATCATGATACAGCTAGCTGAGCCTTTGAGACATACACCGGTTGATACAGCGGTCGTCTTATTTGTGCATGTGTTACCTGGACGATGGCATTGTCGGCCCAACCCTAAGCGGTATTATCCATCAGAAATACTGTTTTTAGCTAACAGAGAAGATAACATGTTTATGTTCTGCTCATCTTGTAGTCATACAACATTTAAAATACTTACGTGTAGAAAAATGTTAGATGCAAACCTTTAAACCTTTATCTACCAAAATAACAATACAGTTTCATTGTGAAGTTTAAGTGGGTTTTATTGCCATTCCACAATATACAGGTATACATTAAACTGAAATGTTGTTCCCTCAGGACCATGGTGCAGAAAAAAATACATTGCAAAATTAAGATGGTGCAGGATAATAAATACAAAGGTAAAGAGAAAAAAAATATACAAAAGCACGACAAATACAAGCGCACAGACAACAGAAATGACAAGACTAAACATGGCTTGAAATAAGTGTGACGGCCTCTGTGAAGAAGCTGTTCTGTAGCGTGGTGGCGGTAGCATGGATGCTATGGTGCCTTCTTCCAGATGACAGTCCATTTGAGGTGTGGGAGGGGTCGACCATAATGCTGATGGCAGGATGCAGTGCTTGTGATAGGTGGTATCGATTGTGGGTTTTGAGATGCCACTTATCCTCTCAGCTGTTCCAACAGTCCCCTGCAGGGTCTTGCAATTGTGCAGACCTTGCAGTTCCTTAACCAGTGAGGCAGCTGGTCAGGACGCTCTCTATTGTACCCCTGTAGAAGGTGGTGAGTATGGAACGAGGAAGGTTTGCTCTTCTCAACCTCTGCAGGAAGTGAAGGCGCTGTTGGGCTTTCTTGGCTATACTGGTAGTGTTGATGGTAGGCATAACAGATATAAAATAACAGATATGAAATCCTGCTCAATCCAACCTTGGAAAAGTGTGTTTCACACCCTCACAACGCATGGTCATGCTTCCAAAGATCCAGGGGAATTGGATTTCATGGGTGAGATAAAGAGAAGAGCCTTTGGCTGTGAGGTTTGCTCAGAGGGCTTAGCGCTTCTTGTTAAGGAAACAACTGGGGTTGGGGAGGGGGGGTTATTTTGAAGTTAATGGATATAGATAGAAAACTACAGAGCCAGCTGTGTTACTGATGTTTGATCATTTTTCAGGTCTTAGAAAATGAATAAAATAAATGATAATGATGTCATTATTTAAAAGTGTAATTATTCTACAAGCTTAGGACCTACGATACCCACAGTCACACCACTATGATAAAATCGTTGAGATACACATCATATGTCACATATGTGACTCATATGTAGGTTGCATTTTAGGCTTTTGGGTTTAGTTAAGTTTTATTACCAATGGTTTTAATTCCAAAGTGCTACATATTCATTTTAATATATCATCTGAGTGAAAATTGCCAGAGGTTAACTATTCAAAATATAAAGACACTCAAGAGGATTCAGTCATGAATAACCATAACAATGTTTTTTAAATTGTGCTGCTCATTGTACTATTACAGATTAAGTGCGACTTTTCTTTTAGCTGTAATGAAATTACAATATAGAGCTCAGCCTTGTAGATGTTTGTGTGAGCGCTGGTTGCTGCAGCATGTTGGCTTATCCAGTGGCTTGGAATTGATTTTTACGTCAGATAGAGTTTCCGCCATAGTAACATATTACATCTGCATTGATCAGGACAACGTGTCTGGGAAGCACATGTACTAGAGATGTAGAACAGACTGTGTTGTTGCTCTACAGACTCATTTCAGAGTATTTGTTTTGGATATATTTTTTGTATTTAAGCTTCCGTTTCTCACCGACATTACAAACTATAAAGCAGTCACAGCACAGGACGATTGTCAGTGTGAACAATGAGCCCTAACCAGAACTACAATGATCATGTATTAGGACAAACCTGTCTCATAGAAATGACATTTTGTTAATGATCATATCTGCAAAGTCAGAACATGTTGAGACTAAAAGTATCAGCAAAATGTTCAGTGACAATATTTTTGTTTACAGTACCCAATTGTGCAATTCAACATCTGCCTGGGCCAAGTACAGCATTTTAAAGCCTGTACGTGGTTATTGTCCACAGTGACTTGAAGCACAACACCAAACATGTTAAATTTATTACCATTTAACTGAAACCGAAGTCTTTCCCTAACCTTGACCAAAGTGCCTTTGTTGCTTAAAATTAAACACAATGTATCTACGCTTTGGTATTTTTGAAATGTCTGAGGAGCATAATCAGGAGGTGTCCTCAGCCCAGATTGGCAGGCAACGTAATTGAGGCAGCAATTACGTTTCCTTACAAAACATATTTGGGAAAACAAATTAGTTGTGTATACGGGGTTGACAGGGTTGATTAGGGATGTGAATTGCTTACTCAACAGCAATTTGGTTAAATTCAATTTGTGAAGTTGGCAATTCAATTCAAGAGTGATTATTGAGTTTCATCCTGAATTTAATTTGATTTTTCATTTCAGTGAGGATTAGTAAAAACTGTATTCATTAAATACATGTTTGCAATCTACAAAATGAAGAATAGACATTGGAATTATGTTTTAAACAGACTAAAGATCTTCACATCTAATTTCATAACTTAACAAGCACTGACACGAGCAGTTGTAGCAATAATATTTGATACTGGTATTTGGTAGCAGTAACAGTACTGGTGTCAGTCCCAGTCTCAGCTTTTCAATCCTGGCAGACTAGAGACAGATTTTCATTCAGTTTGATTGCTCTGTTTCAAAATGTTTCTTAAGATTATTGCTAAAGCCAGTGCATTACGTCTTTTAGCAGATCAGTGCATTATCGACACAATAACTCAATTTTTACCCCCCTACCAGTACGTTACAGAAGTGTATAAAAGTGCCTTTTGCTTTTCAAGGACTTTCCTAACTAGACCAGAGCACTGCAGAGAAATGATTTAGCTGATGGAAATAAGATACAAATTAAACTCAACCAATCACCCAAGAACACATACTGAAAGAAATGTCTGTTTCTTTTCTCATGGAAATAATGGCATAGGAGAGTGGTGGAAAGGGATTTTTTATCTCAAAATATTTGTGTCTTGCCATCAAATCATCCAGATTGTAAAACAGATAAATCCTTGTGACCTTTAAATCCAATATGCAAGGAGTCTTTGCCTGTTCCACTGTGTACCCAGAACCGACCTAGCAGGGTCTGCTGGGATTTGGGCGGGTGGGGAACTGGAGGGGTTAGAGGATAGTGTGCAGTCTGCTGCAAACCAATTTCCATTATATGTAACTTGGCTCTTTAATGTTGGGTGACAGTGTATTTTAATAGGACAAAGGAAGCTCTTAAACAATCACTCAAAGAGAGAACATCATCATACCATTAAATACTTTAGAAAATAGAAACTAGGTTTCAAATGCATTTTAAATCAACATGGGACTTTCTAGTTCATTTTATTTATTCTTCATTTCTCTTCATTTGGCACTCAATAATATTATCTTTAATCAAATATAGAGGTCTTTTAAATCAGAATATAATCACCAATAACTGGTGCATGACAAATGCATTTGTCCCATCTCCCAACCCTGTGAACTGGGTCTGCAGTGGGGGTTTAGGTGGCTCAGCTCTGGGATCCACATGCTGCAGTAATCCAGAGAGGGTTAGGATAAAGCCTAGCTTTGCCTCACTCTCTGCCTCCTCTCAGATCAGATGAGATTAGGAAAAGAGCTAAGAGCTCTGGGGAAAGGCAGGGCTCAGAAACACTGAGGCTGAGGTGAGGAGGGACACAGCAAGGCAGGTGGGCGCTCCTGCAGGAGGCGAGAGCAGGAGAGCAGAGGTGAGTTCTCTCAGGACTACAGGGTTGAAAATTCATATTGGAGCATGTGAAGTAGTGTTGCTGTGGAAGAGAGTTTGGAGCCAGCTAAACAAGGTAGATGCCCTAGATTTAATTCTCTTTCTCTCTTGCTCTGTTCTTGATGTATTTAAGACTTCTGAGACCAAATGGACTTTGGAAGAATGAAAGGGAATAGCACTCCACTATGGCAGAAATGCTGGTTCAGTCCCTGGTAGCAGTGTCTTTGCCTTGGTTGTGTATTCTAGCATGCACAGTTGGAAGTGTCTGTGGGTGGGAAACGAGATCACATCCTTGTCGCTGGACTAGCAAGTCCTACTGGTTGCTCAGGGCACTTTATGCCCTACTGGTGAAGCTCCTTGCTGTCAGGTGAAAAGAAGCAGCTGGTGTCTTCATCCTTCCCAGAACTAAAGTGGAATTAGCAGTGACAAAAACTGCAGTGAAGCAGAATGGCAATTCCAAATTGAGGATGTATTAGATAAAATGTACTATACTTCTATCGTGCCTTTCTAGTCTTCTAACCACTTAAAGCACTTTACACTACATGTCACATTCACCCCATTCAAACAGATTCATACACTGATCGCACAGCCTTCAGGAGTAATGTGCGATTCAGTATCTTGCCGAAGGACACGACATGCAGACTGGAGGAGCCTGTGACCGAACCGCCAAAGTTGTGATTAGTGGGTGACCAGCTCTCCCTGCTGAGCCACAGTCCCCTGAATGGACAAATAAAAAAATGACAAGACAGCCTTAAGACTCACTACAAGAATCAAGTTTAGCCAAGCTGACACAGAAACATGGAGATCTTTGTACAGAATCATTTGAAGTAGTGAGTAAACAGTCCATTGCCCAACTGTATACTTGTCATTTGTCATTCTTAAATTATTAAGAAAATGTTTGTTGTTTTGTCCATCCAAGAGTGCAGAGATGTTCTGTACTGACTTTCTTCACACTGCCTTCTGTCTTGCTGCAAGAAATCTACAGTATGACTCTTGTGAACATGCATTGTATGATTTGAATGCATTTGGTTTTATATATATATATATATATATATATATATACTCTTTGTTCCACTGTTCATACTGCTATGGCCGAATAACACTGGGAGTAAGTTGACTCTGTCTCAATCTCATTCTTTTTCAGCAAGCCATGCCAAACTGATGCTGGAGTAACAGAGCTGACGTGGGACTATGTGTTAAGGATAGTCTGAACTCTTGACTACTTGGAGCCCACTGATATTCTTCTTTGGCTATTAGAGAAAGTTGTTTTGGCAATGGGGAGGAAGAAGATCCAGATCACCCGGATTGTAGATGAGCGGAACCGCCAGGTCAGTGTCTTCAGTCATCTTGTTTTACATTAAGTGGTATACTTATTTGAAGCCCCTTTCACTATAGCTACATAACCTGTGCAACATTGTTGCCTTGCTATATCCATTCGATTTTTAAAGGCAGAGCATGGTGTCCTCGGAGGGTTATAACCGATGGAAGGAATGCATCCCCTAAAAAAGAGTTGTGCCTTATTTCCTCCTGTGCACTTGCTTTTGTACTGTATACGCTCCTTCTCCCTGACACTACTCTGTTGAACATTTCCTCAGTCTTCTGTACCACAGCATACATCCATACAAAAACATACTGTGTATCTCTGTTGTGGTAAACAACATTTCAAGGCAATTTTTGAATATTTTGCTTGTTATGTTTAGTTTTCATGATATCTGATGTGTTGACTGAATCCTGCTAACATCACACTCTAGCAACAAAGGTTTCACTGCATTTTTTCCAAGATCCAAAGGAGCAACAAGCAGAATTGACATATTAAAAGCAGCCCTTTAGAGATTCCTGTAGAAAGAGCATTATTTCGATGTTCAAGTATTGACAAATTCATGAACACTTTACGAAGGGATCCCTCAAGGAACCTTCTGTGGATCCCTTATGGTTACAATCTAAAGAGCTCCTAAAGATTCCTCTCAGCCGTTTTACTTTTGAGAGTGCAGTGGTCACAGCTGGTGGCGAGGGCAGCAATTTAGGGTTAGCTGAGTCCGGACGGCACCCTGTCATTAGCAGGGTGGGCCAGTGTTAGGGACACACAGTGGCCTTCTCTCCTCACGTCTCCTTTGGCGCAGCCACACTGCTGCCCACTGGAATCCCTCTCTGTCTGTCTCCTCTATATATATCACCCCCAACAGCACAACAAATACCAGCCTGTCTGGAAGGAAGGCGCAGGCTCTGGAAATAGGGATGTGGCTGGAAAATAAATATCTTGCATGATCTTTATATTTGATGTTTGGTTGTCTTGGCCAGAGCATTTTTAGATGGACACTGCTTTAGCTGTCGGGTGTGCATCTCTGTAGCCTGCTGTATATTTAGGTCCTAGTACTGTATTTTTGGAATTTGGCTTGTATTCTAGTTTTATTTGTCACGTGTTGAGCTGGTTTTCCTCTTCTTCAAACTATCACAGTAATGCACACACAGTGCGCAGTAATGACAATAGTGTAGTAGAAAGATGCACATGTGATTGACCAGTTATCAGCAGTCAAATATCCTAAAAGAGGAACAAGGTAGTTCTTTGTTATCTGTTTCCACAGAAATCTATTTGCAAGTCATGCTCAAGAAATAATGACCCTAATTTCAAACATCATTTAAGAAAAAGCAAATCTTTTATGTTAATGGCCCTTGGAATCATAGTGAGAACTGTGGCGTCCATTTAACCACTATCATCTAATCTAGTTACTTTAATGAGATGCAACATTTCATGAGTGTATACTACTGTTCCAAATGTTTCTGGCATCAGTGCAGATGTTCGGCTTGGTTGAGCACAAACTTGGTAGGCCATCTGATGTAGCCTTTGCTCCCCAACTGGAACATGTGATGTTGCAGGAGCTTTTAACATCTGGGCTGAGGATATCACATTTTATCTCATCTCATTGGGATAATATAAATATGAAAAAGCCAACACGCTATCATGCATATAATGGGACTCCCTGAAGTTCACTGAGTAAAAACCTCCAATTGGGGCTGGAAGAGGAGAGCGGCTATAAGTCACTTGGTTAAAGACATTTAGCCCAACAACTGACATGCTTTGGCTTATGAAGGCTTTGGTATCCTCTCTGCATCAGTCATCTGACTTCCAGTAAAGCCCACATTGAAGGAAGCATCATTTTTTTTGCAGCACTCCCAGTCCTGAATTCCCGTTGATGATAAGAAGGTGCTATGGAAAGTAATAGGGTGTGACTGTTTTCTACTACTTAAACTTAACATCCACTTTAGAGATGCCTCCTCTTTCTAACCCCTCTTCCAAGGCATGCTTAGAGGATAATTTAGACTTAACCTCGGTCAATTTAAAATCTTGGTAGAACACCATCTCAAACCTTTGGAGAAACTGAAACTGCTTTTCATCTTTCAACTGTGGATAGAGTATATATCTGCTACTGCGCTGCTCTTTTATGTGTCAGTCTTAACATTTTGTAGAATTTGACTGTTTTCAGGAGAAATTCTAGTGCCTATTAGTGTTTATATTTCCTGTTGGTAATGTTTAATAAAAAAGACTCATCCCTTCCTTAACAACCTATGATAGAGTGCCTCTGAGTAAGTACCAGCACTACAAAATGCTCCAGTAAAACTGCTCGGCAGTTGAGCTGTGAATGTGTGGAAATGTAGGAACATGAAGCAGGCAGACACGTCCCAATGCACTTGATACTCTGCAATGCTGGAAATTTTGGAGGTATGAGAAGGTGTGAAATTCAAAGGCAGCTTCTAGATAAGTGATGACATGAGTCAGGATCCCAGAAGCCATGGTGGATGGAAGACATCCACAGAAATACAGATGACTCACTGCAGGGAGTTAGCTGCACACCAAAAAAGGGATGAGAGAGTATGATCAGTGTATGACCTGTGGGTTGTGTGTGGGATTAATGTGAGCAGCAAATGGTCCACTCCAAACATTTCATTTTAGTCTTATGGTAGACGTGCATTTTATGGTTTACAGGAACATGGAGGGTTTGATGGTGATTATCAATACACTGTATGCTTGGCATATATTTAGTCATATATCTCTAAGGAAGGTTCAGTGATAGTATGTGGACTTTCAGTGAATATGATTACAATCAAGGCTGAACACCTTGATAGTAATGATTAAGGGAGGGACATTACTCAGTTGCTTTCCCCACCCACATTTGCCAATTAGTGGCATTCAAGTACAAGCCAATTTACCGTTGATTGCCACCCTCTTTTGGGAAATCAGTGTCAGATCTCACATGGGCAACTCCCTCTTTCCACCTCCTCCTTTGCTCCATCCTGCGTGACATATTTTGAATCACTTTTCTTCTTTTCTTGTCACTGTGACTGTGTATTTAGGTGTATAGTTGATTTTGTAACTGTAGCTCGTGCTGCTGCTGTGGTCATTATCAGTTGTTCTTTGTAAGAGCAGTCACTGAATGAACACCTAAATAAGAAAAAAAGAATGCAATCAGTTGTTAAATTACAGTTTTTGGTTCTGTTCTCTCTGCTTGTAAACTGCTTGTTTGTCTGTCCGCAATTTGCGCGTGAACAAGGACTGAGTTGTATGATATGTCCCCAACTTGTCTTAGCCTAACTCATAGTTCTTCCCTCATTCATTATTGTCAGGGCACGTGAGCTGAAATTTAATGAAAACTGGGTTGATACTTGGTTTCTGTCTTTCTAGGTGACATTCATGAAGAGGAAGTTTGGATTGATGAAGAAGGCCTATGAGCTGAGTGTCCTGTGTGACTGTGAAATTGCCCTCATCATTTTCAACAGCTCCAACAAGCTGTTCCAGTATGCCAGCACCGACATGGACAAAGTCCTACTGAAATACACCGAGTACAACGAACCCCACGAGAGCAGAACCAACTCTGACATTGTAGAGGTGAGTGGCAGGGTCATTTAGTTCAAATGCTATTCCATCTCCATCTCATGTCATAATGTTAGTGTTGTCATTGGAGAGCTCTGACTTGCTCCTGTTTTTGTGCAGTCTATGTTTGTAAAGAAAATGTGGTACTTTTTCCTCTTTTTGGTACTTTTGGTGGGTGATCTCTTGAAACCTATTATTATGCAGTTGCAAAGTTTCAAGCAGTGTTGTGAGTGTGAGCTAAATGCTAATATGTATCACATCAAACAGCCTATTTTGCATTAACACTCGAAAAAAAAATATAATATTTTCTAGTTTGGAGGATTAATAGGTGACCCTAGACATTCATACGTTTTTTTCCCCCACTGACAATTAGAAGAGAATAAATACACAGAATAAAAAGTAATAGAGAAGACGAAAAATTAGATCGTGAGAGAGTAAAATAGAGAACCTGCAAGTAGGAGAGAGATTAAAAGAGATCTTGACATTGTAAAACATATTATGAGGGATTTACACTCATAATAACTTAAATTTTCATCAGGGTGGAAAATCCCTCAACACTTTTTTCTTCTGAGGTCTCTGATGATGTTAGCATCCATTTAGATAGAGGATTAAGAAAGGAAATGACTGGCATTTGTGTTTTAGAAAGATGAATTTCTAGAAAGTGTTAACGGCATTATATATATATATTATATTAACCTCCAGCTGTCACTGCCTTCATTACTGTCTTTTATTAAAGTTTGTGGCGATAGCATATTAATTTTGAAAGACATTTTATGTATTTGTGTCATATGAGGGAACACATAAATGCTCACTTTTATCTACAACACAAAATGCCACACTAGCTGTAACCTTGGAGAGGCAGGAGAGACTGGAATGTCGCTGTTTTCCGTCAATGATTTAAACTATAGATTCGAACTGTACTCCACTATTGCTGGAGGCTATTAGTACAACAAATAGGGCTGCAACTAATGATTATTTTCGTAGTCAACTAATCTGTTAATTATTTATTAGATTAGTCGACTAGTCATCATCATTAAGTATCAACGCCAGGGAGAAACCAGGGAAGAACACAAGACAGCGTATAATTCACTGATTTACTATTACTAACACAACTAAAAGAGCGTTCTCTTAGCCAGCACCATCCATGAGACCTCAAAACCAAGAATGTAAAGAACTACGGAGAGGCTGGCCGGCTGGCACCGCTGATCCTGCGGCCGCTTGTGGAGCACATTTTAGATTCGCCATCAACTTTTGTAAAACTGCAAATATTCAAATGCTACACAGTTCTTCGTGAGTAGTCTTACAGTCAAGCAGTCATGGCAGACAGTGGAAGCGATACTGCCCCCAGCACTTCCGGTTGTGCATTTGCACTTAGAAATGAACAACCAGAAATGTTGCTATCTCTCCCCCTCCGTTACAAACGGCATCTTTGTAACGACACATCAACAGTGAAATTTCACGTCGATGATTTTTTTTATAATTGACGTCGTCGATATTGTGGACTAATCGTTGCAGCCCTAATAACAAATAAAATGCATACATTGAAACATATTAAAAGGCTATGGATTTCTTAGAGTTTTAAGAATGACCACATTCGTAAGGTGGTCACTTTATCCAAACTGCGACCAAATGTTTGGTGCAAAAATGATAGCTTTGTGTTAGCACGCATACCATCCACAGCTACCTAACACTTTGGTGTGGTTATGTGCTGACAAGTCAATTTAACAATTAGCGCTGTTATAAAAATTGAGAAAAGGCGAATGTGTAGCGGCTGGAAGACTTGTTAAAAAGTAAAATAAGAAAATACTGTAATGACAGAAAATCTGCCTTGTCAGACTTTATCTTGTTTTGATTTCTCAGGAAGTGACACATGCCAGATTGTGCAGTGCTGATTCGAAATGGACTTGATTTCAATTAATGAATTTGCAGGAAATAGATAAAAGACTAGGCCAACTAACAGATTGGATACTTTTGATAATGCAAATCATATGTGATACTGTTTATAAAGCATTAACACACACCAATAGCTGACCTACCGGAGACATTGATGTTTTCAGCGATAAGATAAGATTCACCCATTTACCCATTGTGTGGTGTCGTGCAGTGTCATCAGGGTTGTGATGCTAGAACTGTTGCATCATGGTCCCTGAGCAGAGCTGTCCTGTCTCTCACAGCACATACTCATTGCAGCTGCCATTAAAAAAGAATGGTCATCGTGACTCACTTTCTGGCTGTTTATATAAGTTTCTAATGTGTGTTTGCCTTGCTGAGAGCCTACATTTACTGATCCCTCACAGGCAGACACACACACACACACACACGCACATACAGTGTGCTGTACCAAATGCAAACTGTCAACTGTAAAGGAAGCTAAACTTCCCAAACAAACTGTGTTTATTTTTCAAAATGCCTCTTACCCCTTCCTGAAAAAGAGACAAGCTTAAATGTCCAAGTTCAGGAGAGTCAAGGCATGTTTTCCAGCTGCTTTCTTTTAATCAGTCAGTGTCCTTTTATATTACCAAAATCTCAACTCTTAACTTTCCCAAGTAAATCTAACAAGGCGAATAAGACAGTTATAGAGCTGAAAAGAAAAAACAAACAAACAAGAAACCTGGAACTATAGACTTAAGAAGGAACATACAGATGAAACAATAAAGCCTCTCCAAATACCACAACTGTGGAATGCTGAATCCATCCTTGAAATGTAGTGATAGTAGTGGTGGAGTTTGTTATTATGCATCATTGGTATTGCCCTGAATAGCATAATTGTGTCTATTGTTCTGTTGTAAGCAGACACCTTTGTTAGCTCTGTAAGCCATAAGCCAGCTTGATTTGCCTGCTTTGAGCCCTTATTTGTTTTTCCCACAAATGTCATGCAGACAGACACGTTGGTTAAAACAAAGCCTGAAAAGTGAGAGGTTGATCTTTTACATATCGGTCAGTCCATTTGCAACATTTAAGGATGAAATTTGACTGTATGAAGTAACACCCTGCTGGCTGCAACATGTTGTGAGAGACTGGTAGAAAACCTCTGTGGATTCATTGTTTTTTGATGGAACATGATATTTGCTGGTGACTATCTCCCTGGGACAAACACACAAACATCTCACGAGATCACACAGGCAGTCTACACATGAGTATTTACCCAGCATTCACTGTATCTCTTTACTTTGTAGGTTTAAAGTGGAATTGAAATTTTAATTCACCTATTCATTACTTAGACATTGCAGTTACTGCTTTTTTGTGTATTTTCGAAGGAGGTGGTGTTGTCATTGTTACTTACCTGTCATGTTAACTCAGCCGTCATGGTGCATTACTAGCCTGAGATAAAGTTATACTGTATAGCTTGAAAAAGTTAATAAAGGGCATTTTCCCTCATTAAACAAGCCCACATAGAGTTAGCTATCCACGGTTAGTGCTGTAAAGGAATAGTTTGACATTTGGGGAAATAAGCTTATTCACTTTCTTGTAGATAGTTAGAGGAGACGATTGATGCCACTCCTGTATCTGTACGTGACCGATTATGTTACATGGCTGCTGGCTATAACTTCAGATGTACTGTACCGATATGAGAGGGACATCAATTTCGGTGTTGTAAACTTATCAATTCTCTTGCTAGATTTGGTCACTTTTAAGATTTTTTTTCTCCAAATACACTGGGTTTCCAAATGTGAGTTTATTCCCTTGTCCTCTCTATTCAAGAAACTTCCACAGTTCAGCAGATTTCATAAAAAGTTTTTATTAATATGTGTAATATATGTAGATTAAGATGCATATTGATAAGATGATAGCAGCTTGGAATTGCAAATGGGCATGTGATGCTATCTAGCAACATCTAGCTACTTTTTGAGAAGGCTTTAGCTACTCTCCATGTTACTTCACACAAGTTTGTGTTTGGCCCACATTATACAAAATAAGGAGTCTAACTATCATTAGCTGTCACTCTGTCATGAGTCCAGTTGTTGAGTTGATGACAGATGGCCAGACTGCCAACCTCACAGCAACAAGTAGACCTTAACAGTGGCACTCCCTACGTTACAAAGTAATTCAACTCACTACACGGAGTAATGTACAGGAGTCACAGAGTAATGTAGGGAGTGCTCAGATAATAGTTTCTGCAAAGCATCTGGTAACAGTGTTAAAATTAAAGCAGTATTACAAACTTTAGTGCCTGCCCCACACAGATTTGCATGTTACTAGTATCAACATTGTCAGTTGGTACTAGTAACTTTCAAAGAGTGAAGGATAGCTACGGTGGCTGACACAGGACAAAAGGTGTCTCTTCTGAGACAGCAGAGAGTAGCCATTCAAGAAATTACGTTTCTTTAAATAGATATATTAAGAAATTATATTTACTCAATTATTTAGTAAAACCATATGTTATTGCAACTTGAACACTGATGGATAACATGGAAAATGTAAGCCAAGTGTTTGTAACATTATCACTGCTTCTGCACCACAGTCCATTATAAACCACATAATAGATAAAGTTTATATAAACATTGACAAGGGAAACATGTTTACTCTCTCTGACCCTTGCAAAAATTGCCCGCCAGCAATAATTTCTGATTATAATATCAGATTATGGTGCTTAGATAGCGGCAATAAATAAAAATAAAAAAAATACTTTGATAGCTGAAATAGATTTCAGTCATGACAGCCACAGTTACTCACATAATCACTTTCTCTTTAGTGGTTTTGCCTACAAAATAAAAGCGTGAGAACTTTTTTGCAGCATTGCTTTATTTTGGGTTGAATTGAGAGTTTTTACTTTGAAAGATTCTGAACAACAGTAACAACTGCTGTACATTTCTTCTTCTTCTTCTTGGAATTGTAACGAACGTATGTATTCAACATAGTGATAAACGTCTACACTGCCAGAATTCTACAAGAAGGAGAAGAACGTAGTGACGAAACACACTCTGTAGTGCAGTTTGTCCGTTTTGGGCTACTTTAGAAACATGGCGGTGCAACATGGCAACATCCATGGAAGGGGGGGCCACGGTTATGTAGAT